GGTTTATAATCTGGAGACTCACACCAACTCAAGCGATTAGTCACTTGGAAAGGATACCTCACTCCCATATGCCAGGCAACTTCAGCCTAGCCCAGACTCTCACATGAAGATGACATTGTACCAGCCAAAGACATCACAGTTGGAGATGAGTTTTGTCCTGTGCCGGAGACAACTGCATCTCTTAAGCTGAAACCTCCACCCCAGTGATGTCCAAGGACTCCCTCTCTAAAGATACAAATTACAAGACATTTTTCGCTTTTTTACTTGAGCTCACTGCACTTGGCCCTTGATCTGGGTATACTCCTTCCTCTGCTAAAATGTACATCCCTCCACTTCCTTGTCAAAAGGGAATTCTGGTATAGGCTACTCAAAGTAATATAATAGAAATTTTTTTTCAGGAAGCACTTGCCTTGTATCAGTCAACCTCTTGACTTCCCAGGGAGAAGACTACCCACTACTTGAATTTTTTTTTCTACCTCTGCCCTCCAGTTTCACATCACACCTTGCATCTGAGACCATGACCACCACAACCACTATTTCCCCTTCATTAAACACAGTACCACATTCAATGGGTACATTTTCCTCTCAATGGCACCTTTGGGTTCTGGTGGCCCCCAGATGTCAGACAATGTGCCTAACATGTTTTTCCTTGCCAACTTCCCCTAAAGAGACCATACCTCAGTGTGCGGTGCAGTCATTACAATGGGAATTCCCATAGTGTTTGGTTTTTTTTGTTTTTGGGGGTTTTTTTTGAGTTGGAGTCTAACTCTGTCACCCAGACTGGAGTGCAGTGGCTGCTCCCGCAATCCTTCCGCCTCAGTCTTCCAAGTAGCTGGAATTACAGGCATGCGCTACCACACCCAGCTGAATTTTTGATTTATTGTAGAGATGAGGTATCGCTGCCCAGGTGGGTCTCCAACCCGTGGGCTCAGGCAATCCACTCACCTCAGCCTCCCAAAGCACGGGATTACAGGCTGAGCCACCAGCCCGGCTGGTTTTTTATTTTTTTGAGTTAGAGTCTCACTCCGTTGCCGAAGCTGGAGTGACATAGCCACCACAGTGTCAACCTGCTGGGCTCCGGTGATTCTTCTACCTTAGCCTTCCAAGTAGCTGGAACTACAGATGTGCGCTACCATGCCTAATTTTTTTTGTTTGGTTGGTTTTTTGTTTACTATAGATATGAGTCTCACCATGTTGCCCAGGCTGGTTTTGAACCCACAGTCCTCAGGCAATCCTTTCATCTCGGCCTCCCAAAGGTTTTTGTTTTTTTAAAGAAATGGGTCTTGCTCTGTTGCCTAGTATGAACTTGAATTCCTGGACTCGGGTAATCCTGAGCCTTTCAAGAAGCTGGGACTACAGGCACAAGCCATCATACTCAGCTACTATATAGTTCACTGGGTGTTTCTTTTCCATCAACCAAAGGTCTCTGGACAAGATGAGTAGCATTTATTCCTACCTTAATAGGACTTGCCCTAGACACAGGAGCCACCAGCATTGGGACTAGTACAGCAGCCTTTGTCAAACAAAATCAAATCATTACTGCTAACCAACACCTTTCAGCAGCCCTTTGAAATCATTCAGTGGGTGCATGAAACTTTGTTTTTTACAGGACAAGCCTGTGTGTCTGTAATCCATATGAAATGAATACATTACTCATCAGGGAAGGAGGGGATTGGGGCATTCAGAATACCTCCTGCTGTGTGTGTATTCTTAACTCTGCAGTTACAGGCTAGGATGTGAGGAATAGACCAAGAGGTAAAGATATTTCATCACATAACCAGCATCTTCCAACAGATTCCCTTCAGGTCAGAGATGTCTGACCTGTTTTTTGGGGTTATCAACAAAGGAGAGTGCCTAGTTATTACCTGGGTTCATATGTCTAACAGGAGTCTTCCTAGTTGTCACTTTTCTCAAAGGTAACCTTTGAGGCTAAGTTGATCCCACTCAACTTTAACATCTCTACAACCCAGATTACAAGTATTATCAATCCCAATTAGTATTGTTAAAAATGCAGAGGAATCACAAAACGGATTGTATTATAAATTTTAAAATTTATATTTTCCTGATGTTTCAAGAACATCTCTACAAACAGGCTATGAGAAACTCCCCCTCACCACCAACCATATATATTAATGTGATAATGTTTATCTAAGTTCCCCTGTCCACCCTGACACCCAATAAAGTTCCCAACAGGTCTTTACTCAGTTTCCTGTCTCCCTAGAAAAGCCTCCTCCCCTGCTGCTCCTCCTGCATGACCCTCTACATGGCATCTGTTTCTCCCTCTAGGACCTGTGAGTTTAATAAGTCCTTGAAATTCAAGAGCCCTCCAAGTGTAAATTCTGTGGCCACTTTGGAGTGATTTTTTTTTTTTTTTTGAGTTGGAGTCTCACTCTGTGTTCCAGGCTGCAGTGCTGTGACATGCTCGCTTGCCACCACAGCCTCGACCTGCTGGACTCAGGTGATCCTTCTCCCTCAGCTCTCCAAGTAACTGGAACTACAGGCATGTGCCACCATGTCTGGCTAATTTTTGGATTTATTATAGAAATGTCTCGCCAAGTTGCCCCGGCCAGTCTCAGACCTGTGGGCTCCCAAATTGCTGGGATTATAGGTGTGAGCCACAGAGCCCAGCCTTGGAGCAATCATGCAGGGAGCCCGGTGTGATGGCGCATGCCTGTAGTTCCAGCTACTTGGAAAGCTGAGGAGGAAGGATTGCCTGAACCCAGCAGGTCGAGGCTGCAGTGGCCATGAGTGTGCCACTGCACTCCAGCCTGAGCAACAGACTGAGACTCCAACTCAATTATATATATATAATGCAAGAGTTTTTACTTTTCCATTTACAGCACATTAATTAATGCCCTAATTTTCACCTGAAAAACTAGGTGAGGTTGTGATGTGGTTGTAGTTTAACCTTTTATTTATTTATTTATTTATTTATTT